TTCTCTACAGTAAACAGTTGTTTATTCATGGAGACTTGGGCTCAGACAATTTGAAGACAACAAACAAGAATTTTCAGGATGTGGTTGTTACATTCATGTCGTTTAAAAAAACATGACAATATCAAGTAATCCAAAGTAATCAGATTACATTACTCACTTTAAGTAATTTAATGGATTACGTTACAAACTACATTTTGGGGTGTGTAATCTGTAATCTGTAGGGGATTACATTTTAAAAGTAACCTTCCCAACACTGGTCGCTGATGCTCCTGGTGTAAATTCCAGGTCACGTGATCTGTTTGACGTTTACGTTTGAAAAACAGGAGGAGTAAAAACTCTGAAGATGTGTCCAAAGGGTGAGTCTAATTGTGTAGATCTATAAGCTCTTGGAACAGCTCCAGTCAATATCAGAGCCGGTTTCCTGAATCCGGTTTTAAAGGTGACTCCAGTAGCAGCTTTGTCTGGTAATAACAAACACAGAGACACACAGAACCCCCCTCATGAAAGATGATGTCTCTGAGCAGAATATACAGAAAACTGTATAGTCCTCTGGTTTAGACCTGGTTTAGACCTGGTTTAGTCCTGGTTTAGACCTGGTTTAGACCTGGTTTAGACCTGAGTTTGGTCCTGGTTTAGTCCTGGTTTAGTCCTGAGTTTGGTCCTGTTTTAGTCCTGGTTTAGTCCTGGTTTAGTCCTGAGTTTGGTCCTGGTTTAGTCCTGGTTTAGTCCTGGTTAAGTCCTGAGTTTGGTCCTGGTTTAGTCCTGGTTTAGACCTGGTTCAGTCCTGGTTTAGACCTGGTTTAGACCTGGTTTAGACCTGGTTAAGACCTGGTTTAGATCTGGTTTAGTCCCGGTTTAGTCCTGGTTTAGACCCGGTTTAGTCCTGGTTTAGTCCTGGTTTAGACCTGATTTAGACCTGGTTTAGTCCCGGTTTAGACCTGGTTTAGTCCTGAGTTTGGTCCTGGTTTAGTCCTGGTTTAGTCCTGGTTTAGTCCTGGTTTAGACCTGGTTTAGACCTGGTTTAGTCCTGGTTTAGTCCTGGTTTAGACCTGGTTTAGACCTGAGTTTGGTCCTGGTTTAGTCCTAGATTAGTCCTGAGTTTGGTCCTGGTTTAGTCCTGAGTTTGGTCCTGGTTTAGTCCTGGTTTAGTCCTGAGTTTGGTCCTGGTTTAGACCTGGTTTAGTCCTGAGTTTGGTCCTGGTTTAGTCCTGGTTTAGACCTGGTTTAGACCTGGTTTAGTCCTGGTTTAGACCTGGTTTAGTCCTGAGTTTGGTCCTGGTTTAGTCCTGGTTTAGTCCTGAGTTGGGTCCTGGTTTAGTCCTGGTTTAGACCTGGTTCAGTCCTGGTTTAGACCTGGTTTAGACCTGGTTTTAGCCTGGTTTAGATCTGGTTTAGTCCCGGTTTAGTCCTGGTTTAGACCCGGTTTAGTCCTGGTTTAGTCCTGGTTTAGCCCTGGTTTAGACCTGGTTTTAGTCCCGGTTTAGACCTGGTTTAGTCCTGAGTTTGGTCCTGGTTTAGTCCTGGTTTAGTCTGGTTTAGACCTGGTTTAGACCTGGTTTAGACCTGGTTTAGTCCTGTTTAGTCCTGGTTTAGTCCTGGTTTAGTCCTGAGTTTGGTCCTGGTTTAGTCCTGGTTTAGTCCTGGTTAAGTCCTGAGTTTGGTCCTGGTTTAGTCCTGGTTTAGACCTGGTTCAGTCCTGGTTTAGACCTGGTTTAGACCTGGTTTAGACCTGGTTAAGACCTGGTTTAGATCTGGTTTAGTCCCGGTTTAGTCCTGGTTTAGACCCGGTTTAGTCCTGGTTTAGTCCTGGTTTAGACCTGATTTAGACCTGGTTTAGTCCCGGTTTAGACCTGGTTTAGTCCTGAGTTTGGTCCTGGTTTAGTCCTGGTTTAGTCCTGGTTTAGTCCTGGTTTAGACCTGGTTTAGACCTGGTTTAGTCCTGGTTTAGTCCTGGTTTAGACCTGGTTTAGACCTGAGTTTGGTCCTGGTTTAGTCCTAGATTAGTCCTGAGTTTGGTCCTGGTTTAGTCCTGAGTTTGGTCCTGGTTTAGTCCTGGTTTTTAGTCCTGGTTTAGACCTGGTTTAGTCCTGAGTCCTGGTTTAGTCCTGGTTTAGTCCTGGTTTAGACCTGGTTTAGTCCTGGTTTAGACCTGGTTTAGTCCTGAGTTTGGTCCTGGTTTAGTCCTGGTTTAGTCCTGAGTTGGGTCCTGGTTTAGTCCTGGTTTAGACCTGGTTCAGTCCTGGTTTAGACCTGGTTTAGACCTGGTTTAGACCTGGTTTAGATCTGGTTTAGTCCCGGTTTAGTCCTGGTTTAGACCCGGTTTAGTCCTGGTTTAGTCCTGGTTTAGACCTGGTTTAGACCTGGTTTAGTCCCGGTTTAGACCTGGTTTAGTCCTGAGTTTGGTCCTGGTTTAGTCCTGGTTTAGTCCTGGTTTAGACCTGGTTTAGACCTGGTTTAGACCTGGTTTAGTCCTGGTTTAGTCCTGGTTTAGTCCTGGTTTAGTCCTGAGTTTGGTCCTGGTTTAGTCCTGGTTTAGTCCTGAGTTTGGTCCTGGTTTAGTCCTGGTTTAGTCCTGAGTTTGGTCCTGGTTTAGACCTGGTTTAGTCCTGAGTTTGGTCCTGGTTTAGTCCTGGTTTAGTCCTGGTTTAGACCTGGTTTAGTCCTGGTTTAGACCTGGTTTAGTCCTGAGTTTGGTCCTGGTTTAGTCCTGAGTTTGGTCCTGGTTTAGTCCTGAGTTTGGTCCTGGTTTAGTCCTGGTTTAGTCCTGAGTTGGGTCCTGGTTTAGTCCTGAGTTTGGTCCTGGTTTAGTCCTGGTTAAGTCCTGAGATTGGTCCTGGTTTAGTCCTGGTTTAGTCCTGGTTTAGTCCTGGTTTAGACCTGGTTTAGACTAAACCAGAACTAAACCAGGACTAGAACAAGACGTGCCAAGACTAGAGCAGGAGGACTAAACTAGGATTAAACCCAGGACTAAACCAGGACTGAAACACGACGTTTTATTTATTTTATGTATTTATTTAGGGCGAGTCTTTTATGATAGAATATCTTTTTATCCACACTGACATTAGTGGAATCACACCAACAGAAACGAGAACAACAACAAAACATTTACCCAAAAAAGAACATTTATTTAAGAAGAACATTTATTTAATCCCACCCCTCAACCAAGACTAGACCAAGAATAAACCCGGACTGAACCAGGACTAATTAGACCAAATCCAGTTTTATAGTCGGTGGTGTTTGCCGTCTGGGAGTAACTTTGATGGATTCTCCTGATATTTGTGAGATCACAAACTCACGAGGATCCATCTTGAGGTGTTCCCGCTGTACGGTTTGTACTGGAGCCCACACATCGACCAGGTGTTTGAGTTCATGGTTAATATCAGACTCCACAGAAGGTTTAGTATGAACCCTAAAGCGCACACACAGTGGACCATCTCATGTTTTGTAACGAACGGCCTGTTCTTTACGTAATAATTACACATGCACTTTCATTCACTTTGCACTTTATATATATTTACATTGCACAGTATTGCACGCAGCACTTATAAGATACGCTAATTTGCACATATTAACATATTAAGAATTGCACACATTTGTATTGTTTTAAAAAAGATATATATTTATTGAAAACATTGTCGGGCGTCACGTGGGCCGGTCGGACGGGCACTTCCGGGTTTGGCGGCCGCCGGTCTGCGGAGATACACCGAAAGTTACAATTGGATAGTGTGCAACATATGTGCCGTGTTTTAAATGAGTTGTGTGTTGTGTGTGTTTGCGTGTGTGTCATGTGGGTATTTTAGAGTGTGAGAGTGGGATGTGCATGTTTGGTATGTGATACTTACCCGTGTCTTCTGTCCAGGTGTCTGGCGAAAAGATTCCCCGGGGAACCAGACACCTTTTTAAGAGTTCCGGGCCAACTCATCACGGCGGACATCGGGGGGGAATAGCACTCGTTTTTAATTGGGATATTCACGTTGGGTTTTATTAGGAATTAGTTTTAGGGTTTTATTATTTTTGTATTTGGGTTTTATATAGTTTATTTGGCTATGGGTATTTTATTGGAGGATTTTAACTTAATTTTATACAGCTAATGTTATTTTACACCCCTTGGAGTTTTAATGGTTTTATCCAGTAGTATATAAGGCGCCTAATCAGACCATTCGATGTTCTGCTGCTGGAGAGACCTGCTGCTCCATATCCTCCCTGCACTTTTTGCACCGCACTTTGTTTTCTGCATTGGCACTTTGGAAATTTTGGAAAAAGAAATTAAAAATTTTGTGGACCACGCTAAACCTGCCTCCATCATCTGTTCTCAGTTTCTCACTGCCAATCCAGCCGCTCTACCCGTCCTGGTCACATGTTTCCTCCTCAAAAACAAACCTGGACTTCTGTTTCATTCACTGTGTTTCAGTAATAATGCAAATTTAACTCAAAACATTCAGGTGATAATCCAGAAGTGCTCCTCTGTGTTTTTAAAGTCCACACATGTTCATCAGACATAAACCAACCAGAATCTCTTTAAATGTGCACTGTGTAACTTTTAGGTTGGGGGTCCATCACCTTCTTGTTTCCATGGACACAGAATGTTCCACAGTGTGACATGAAACAGTTCAACCTTTCACTTATTGAATTACAGCTGGTTTTATTGCTCATAAATATTGAGGAAAAACAGGCGTTCTGACTGAGTGGGGTCATTCCAGATATCTGACCCTTCACTTGGTTTGGTCTCCATGACAATAGAAAGGGTTAAAGTCACACTGTGAAACATTCCAGACAAAGCATTCCAGGCAATCACATCTCCATGGAGAAAAGCAGGTGGCAGATCCTCCTCCAGAAAAGTTACACAAGGCACCTTTAATAAATCAATAAATTAACCAATGGATTTATACAGTAACACAACCACCTTTGTTCAGAAATGTTAATGTTTGATGAACTGTTTCTAACCTTAGATGGAGGATAAAGTCGACTGTAAACACGGCCTATAAAACCCCTCTCACAGTTTGGATCATGATTCTGCCTTTGAGATGAAGACCATGCAGTCGTCCATCTTCTTCCTGCTGCTTCTGGGTGTGTCCCTGGGTTTGGCTGCTCCACCTGAGCTCAGTGAAGTGAAGCTGGTGCAGGGGACCTGCCCCATGTCCTGGTTCAACTTCAACGGTCGCTGTTACAAGTATGTCTCCACTCGTACGACCTGGGCTGACGCAGAGATCCACTGTGTGTCTCAGAGCGCCAACCTGGTGTCCATCCACAACCTGGAAGAACACAACTTTGTGAAGAGTTTAATCCAGAATTTTGATCACACTCTGGGACGAACTTGGATTGGACTCAGTGACATCTACAAAGAAAAAAGATGGATCTGGACTGATGGTTGTCCAGTGGTGTACACGAAGTGGAATGCCGGGGAACCAAACAGTAAGGGAGGAAATGAAGACTGTGTGGAAATTTGTAATGGTAATGAAAAAAATTGGAATGATGAGGGTTGCTCACGTAACTCTCCCTCTGTCTGTGCCTCACGTAAACCTGACTGTTAGAAATGATGCCACAGCTACAAACCAACACCTGGACATGGACTTTATCTTCTGATTTGATGATAAGGTTCTACATTCTGAATAAGTTTTGTTTTGTGTAAATACCAAACTGATTCTAATGTATGTAAACTGTAATAACTAAACACTGATCAAACAATGACTCTGTGATTACAAAACAAAACGTTAAATCAAATCTTAAACATTTATATGCAGGTTATTTTATATTTTTTGTGTAGACAGTTTATAGTTTTGTCATTGACTTGATCTGTGAATAAAAAACTGGAGTCTGCTGCCACTTCGTCTTGTTTCACTGTAAAGTGTAATGTTCATCTGATACAATACGTATAATAAATGTGCAGTGGATTCAGCTGCTGGTTTGTTTTTCTGTGTGTGACTGCGTCACTATTGCAACAACATCATTATTTCCAATTTATTCGGATGACATCACTTCAAATTATGTCCAACAACACCACTCCATATTTGGAGAACACATGAGTGATTTTGATCACAGATTCATGGTGACGTCTGTAAGGATCCATATTTTAAGTGACTTTATTTTTGCAGTCTTCAGTAGACAGATGTTTCACAGTGGTTGTCCTTTAACACTTGGCCAAGATGATTATTCATGCTAACGTTTTAAACTTGCACATATTTAAATTATTCACTGTGATGAGCACCAGTCTGTGGCCCTCTGCTTCATCTGTTTTTAGATGTGACCCTTGATGAAAAAAGTTTGGACACCCCTGTTTTCATGTATAAATTTACCATCACTAATACTTTAACAAACAAATGTACGGCGATCATGTGCAGTGACCAGGGAGGGGTCGTCCGTCCACACGCCTCTGTACAGAAATACAGCTCCACAACAAACACTGCACGGCTCACGTCACACTGTTTTCTGATCTGTGTTATAATGTTTCCTCATCAAAAACAAACCTGGAGCTGTGCCGTCCTCACGACACCTGACTGGAGTCAGACAGTGAACTCATAAAGAAAACTTTGTACTTGAGGCAAACTTTTCTTGCTTTTAAGGAGGTCTCTTTTTATTTTCATTAATTTATATTTTTGTAACTAAAACAGAAAAAGGCATATAAGTAACTACACTGTACATTAATGTGTACAGAAAACAGTTAACTCTGTGGAACATTACATGTTCTAATATGAAAGTTCTTGTAAATAAACAAATACAAAGACAAAACTTTTGCAAGGTTCAAACATTTATGGCACGTTCAGCGTGTTCAAGAGCCATGTTCAGACCTCATTTTACCGTGGTGGGATATGGACCAGACTGTTGGCGCCCTCTAGTGTCCACACAACATGATCTATAACCCAATGTACACTGTTCATTATATAACATAAGCCATTACCTAAGACCATCAATCATATGTTTTCATCAGCAAGTAAATTATATAAAAACTTTCTCTTTGTAGGAGCAGCCTGTTCCTCTTCTTGGGAGCTTCACCTGCTCTGTCCCAGTATATTTAAGGGAGGAGATGGATGCTGCGCTTCTTTAAAATTTTGATGCCCTCCCATCCTCCTCTATCGCTGCCAGCAGAGGGGAGTGAAGCAGACTAAATAAGGCTAAAAATGATAGCTGCTGAGTAGCAGCAAAATCTCTCAAAACTATCTCTGCGTACCTGACCCACACTGCACTCACAAGACTACACCTGCAGAGGGAGCTCCTGCAAAAAATACTATTCATGTTATGGTTTGGCAAGAGGGACCCCAAAGCAGAGCCAGGACTCAGTCAAGTTTTAACAGTTTATTTTACAAACAGAAGGCAGGCTGAGGAGGCAGGGAGCTGTCAGACTTCTCCAGAGGCAACAGCAGACAACCACCGAGACACCTGGGTGAAAACAGGAGCAGGTACGTCCAAAACGAACAATAAGCAAAACAGGTAAATATTAGTGATGTGACGTTCCGTGTCGAGTCTTCGAAGCGTGTGCCGAGTAGGGAGGGGGCGTTTCCGTGAAGCGCTTATCGAGGCTTGATTCATTTAGGGGAGGAGCTGAAAATGATGACGTCCGAAGCCTCGCTGCCCGGCTGTACCACGTGACTGATTCAGGAAGTGGTTCGGGTTTTGCCGCGAGTTTTGACAGCGAAATAAACTGCTCAGTCTTCATTCAAAATGTGGGTGTTTGATGGAGAGTTGCGATCAGTGAGAGTTTGGAAGTTTGGAGACAGTTTAAACTCACAAAAAAACAATTCTCATTTCTTAGGTAACAACCTGTGGCGTCGCCTGGATGACAGAGTCAGGCAGACACAAACACAAAATGTAATAGCAGACGCACATATTGAGGTCCAACGGTGCATGATGGAGCCAAATACTGGAAGGCTGGAGGACCCCCTTCAATACTGGGAGAGACAGAAATATGTCTATCCCCATTTATATAAATTAGCAGTGGCATTCTTGTGTACGCCTGCCTCATCTGTGCCCTGTGAGCGGAAAGCAGGAGAAATATTGTCAAAAAAAAGAAATGGCCTGAGACCTGCCACAGTGGAGAAACTGTTGTTTTTAAATAAAAACCAATGATGTGTCCCTGAACCATAATCACCCAACGTTACAAAAGCACAATCAATGTCCATACTCCAACCCCAACCACCCTCACATCACTGTAAATGATCATTAGCTTTTTCATAATTTCCAAATAATAATTTTCCATACTGCCAGTATATATATATATATATATTATATATTATAAAAGTATTTTATATTTATATATATAATACACACACAGTATACATCACTACAATATACATGTTTTGCATACTTCTTTACTTGGCTGACAGTTTTATTCACAGGCTTTCTGCAAAATGCAACACACTTCAAATTCATGTCGACTGATATTTTTTGCATCCAGTAGACGTCCTACTAGAGCAAATGAAGCTTCAGGAAGCTTTGCACCAGAGTGAAGCAACTGGATGAAAGGCTTCAATGCTTCATGAAGCTTCATCTGCCCATCACTAGTAAATATCCAAGAGCCTGATAGACGCTACCGAACAGGAAGGAATTATCTGGCAAAGTGGTGGTGAGAAAACCAGGGTGAAATACAGAGGCTGATGAAGGAGTTGATTGCTGATTGCTGGTGTGTCTCATCTGCTCTGGAAGAAGCCACGCCCCCCGCCACACTCAAGCGCTGCAACAAAAAGGGGAGGGGGAGAGAACAAAAAAACAAAACAAATCCTAACAATTCATGCAGAAAAAAAGGACCAGAAAAAAGTGCACTTGTTTAATTTGTGAATCATGAGTTGAATCTGCCTTTTACATAAAATACCAAAAAATACCAACTCTTCACCTCACTCCCTCACTCTTCTTTCAGTCTCTTCTTTCTGCTGGTGTCCCATAGAAATCTTCATAATCCAAGTCAAGTGTGAGCAGAGTTAAAGTCTGTTCTGTCCTGTAGTAGTTTTAGTATTGTGTCTGCACAGCTCACTGAAAACAGACTAAACACAAACGGCCCTGACCTCACACACTGACGCCGTTTCATCTGCTCACTGTGGTTATAGAGAAAGATCTGCTTAAAGAAGATTTATTCTGCAACACAGACTTTCAGAGCTTTGAATCATGTTATTGTAGTTTCTTCTCATTGACCCTCTGAAGTTGTATTCATTTGAGGAGTCGTTATTTTCCTGTATTCAAGATGTCATTGCTTTGATCCACCCTCATTTTCAATTCCACAAGTACTTGCACGTATGCACTTCCTTCTCCAATTTTATTTTCTTAACTTTGTGATGTACACAAGATTCGGCAGCGTTAAAAAGTAATTTTGGTACAAATGAAAAAAGAATGTGCTCCTCTCTAGTGTGAGCTGCAGCTGTCCATAGAAGAAGCTTCTAGTGGCTACTGGAGTATTATGTGACATCGCACAGAACTGCCCCGCTTACAGCCAGGTGTTTCTGACACAAACACCTGGCTGCAGGGGCGGAGTGTCAAGAGTGAATACCTGTGAGACAAAACACACTGTTCCTTTTACTCCCAGTCTCCGCTTTAGTCGTCCAGGCCTCACCAGTTCAGCAGCTCTATTTAAAATGTGGTTGTGGGCAGAGTTTAGGTGTTTAGTCTCACTTTAAGAAACCACCTGTTACCTGTTGGGCGTGTCGGGGGCGGAGCCTGTTACCTGGTGGGTGTGTCGGGGGCGGGGCCTGTTACCTGTCGGTCATGTCGGGGGCGGAGCCTGTTACCTGTCGGTCATGTCGGGGGCGGGGCCTGTTTACCTGTCAGTCATGTCGGGGGCGGGGCCTGTTACCTGTCGGTCATGTCGGGGGCGGGGCCTGTTACCTGTTGGTCATGTCGGGGGTGGGGCCTGTTACCTGGTGGGTGTGTCGGGGTGGGACCTGTTACCTGTTGGGCATGTGGGGCGGGGCCTGTTACCTGGTGGGTGTGTCGGGGGTGGGGCTCGGGGGGGCGTCTCCAGGTGACACGATGTTGGTCAGAATGACCACGTTGTCCTCAGAGCCTCCTCCTTCTCGCTCCTTTCGGCTGATGGACCGACTCAGGTCTGGACTCTCCTGAAAAGACAGAACCAAAGAACTAACCCAGGACTAACGTAGATCTAAACCAGGACTGAACCAGGACAATGTTTTTCTAATTGTGATTTATTTATTTGACAGGGATAATGCAGTCGTACAAAGTCACAGACAGAACATGTAGCTGATGTGACGCAGATAGAGTGTAACTCGTGCTTATTCTCAGCTCCTGTCCCTGGACTTTTCCTACAATAAACACTTCAAAACTCATTCTGACTGAGTGGGGCCACCCTTAACTTGGTCTGGTTTGGTCTCCATGACAATAGAAAGGTTTAAAGTCACACTGTGAAACATTCCACACAATGGATTCCAGGCAATAACATCTCGTGGAGAAAAGCAGGTGGCAGATCCTCCACCAGAAAAGTTACACAATTCAGTTAATAATTGAATTAACCATTGGATTTATATAGAGTCTTTCAACACTCCCAAGGCGATTTACAGCATTATTCATTCACTTCACTCAGATACTATTGTAGCCACAGCTGCCATGAGACATACTGTCAGAAGTGAGGCTGACAATTTACACCATCTGCACCATCGGAGGAGTTCAGCGCGGCCGTGGAGGACGACAGCCAACAGGGTGAAGTCGAAAACAGACTCATCCTGGTGTATGTTTTGGCTGCTCCACCAGGCCTCTGTAATCTGCCAATTATACAGCAAATATCAACATTGTAAAATACACAAAAACACTTACATTATGGGAATAAAAGTTTGCTCATAAAGGTCAATGTCTCATGATCTGTTTCTAACCTTTGATGGAGGTCAAAGTCGACTGTAAACACGGCCTATA